CTGCCTTACCAGTGGGCACCGTACCAGCAGCTGCCTTCCCAGTGGACACGTTACCAGCAGCTGCCTTCCCAGTGGGCACCGTTACCAGTAGCTGCCTTCCCAGAGGGCACCGTTACCAGCAGCTGCCTTCCCAGAGGGCACCGTTACCAGCAGCTGCCTTACCAGTGGGCACCTTTACCAGCAGCTGCCTTCCCAGTGGACACCGTTACCAGCAGCTGCCTTCCCAGTGGGCACCGTTACCAGTAGCTGCATTCCCAGAGGGCACCGTTACCAGCAGCTGCCTTCCAAGAGGGCACCGTTACCAGCAGCTGCCTTACCAGTGGGCACCTTTACCAGCAGCTGCCTTCCCAGTGGACACCGTTACCAGCAGTTGCCTTCCCAGTGGGCACCGTTACCAGCAGCTGCCTTACCAGTGGGCACCGTTACCAGCAGCTGCCTTCCCAGTGGGCACCGTTACCAGCAGCTGCCTTCCCAGTGGACACTTACCAGCAGCTGCCTTACCAGTGAGCACCGTTACCAGCAGCTGCCTTACCAGTGGAAACACCGTTACCAGCAGCTGCCTTACCAGTGGGCACCGTTACCAGCAGCTGCCTTACCAGTGGGCACCGTTACCAGCAGCTGCCTTCCCAGTGGGCACTTACCAGCAGCAGCCTTACCAGTGGGCAACCGTTACCAGCAGCTGCCTTCCCAGTGGGCACCGTTACCAGCAGCTGCCTTCCCCAGTGGACACTTACCAGCAGCTGCCTTACCAGTGGGCACCGTTACCAGCAGCTGCCTTCCCAGTGGGCACCGTTACCAGCAGCTGCCTTCCAAGTGTGTTGTAATTCCCAAGAACGAGTTGTTTACATTCTTCAGGCTTCACATTAGTGATCTTCAGGTGACTACTGTGTCACAGTTGTGATCTTCAGGTGGCTACTGTGTCACAGTGGTTATCTTCAGGTGGCTACTGTGTACCAGTGGTGATCTTCAGGTGGCTACCGTGTCACAGTGGAGACATTCAGGTGGCTACTGTGTCACAGTGGTGATCTTCACATGGCTACTGTGTCGCAGTGGTGATCTTCAGGTGGCTACTGTGTCGCAGTGGTGATCTTCAGGTGGCTACTGTGTCACAGTGGTGATCTTCAGGTGGCTACTGTGTCACAGTGGTGATCTTCAGGTGGCTACCATGTCACAGTGGTGATCTTCAGATAGCTACTGTGTCACAGTGGTGATCTTCAGGTGGCTACTGTGTCACAGTGGTGATCTTCAGGTGGCTACTGTGTCGCAGTGGTGATCTTCAGGTGGCTACTGTGTCGCAGTGGTGATCTTCAGGTGGCTACTGTGTCACAGTGGTGATCTTCAGGTGGCTACTGTGTCACAGTGATGATTTTCAAGTGGCTACTGTGTCACAGTGGTGATCTTCAGGTGGCTACCATGTCACAGTGGTGATCTTCAGATAGCTACTGTGTCACAGTGGTGATCTTCAGGTGGCTACTGTGTCGCAGTGGTGATCTTCAGGTGGCTACTGTGTCGCAGTGGTGATCTTCAGGTGGCTACTGTGTCGCAGTGGTGATCTTCAGGTGGCTACTGTGTCACAGTGGTGATCTTCAGGTGGCTACTGTGTCGCAGTGGTGATCTTCAGGTGGCTACTGTGTCGCAGTGGTGATCTTCAGGGGGCTACTGTGTCACAGTTGTGATCTTCAGGGGGCTACTGTGTCACAATTGTGATCTTCAGTTGGCTACTGTGTCACAATTGTGATCTTCCGGTGGCTACTGTGTCACAGTTGTGATCTTCAGGGGGCTACTGTGTCACAGTTGTGATCTTCAGGTGGCTACTGTGTCACAGTGGTGATCTTCAGGTGGCTACTGTGTCACAGTTGTGATCTTCAGGTGGCTGTGTCACAGTGGTGATCTTCAGGGGGCTACTGTGTCACAGTGGTGATCTTCAGTTGGCTACTGTGTCACAATTGTGATCTTCCGGTGGCTACTGTGTCACAGTTGTGATCTTCAGGGGGCTACTGTGTCACAGTTGTGATCTTCAGGGGGCTACTGTGTCACAGTTGTGATCTTCAGGTGGCTACTGTGTCACAGTGGTGATCATCAGGTGGCTACTGTGTCACAGTTGTGATCTTCAGGGGGCTACTGTGTCATTGTTGTGATCTTCAGGTGGCTGCTGTCTCACAGTGATGATCTTCAGGTGGCTACTGTGTCACAGTGGTGAACTGTTTGCGACAATGAACAAGATATTATTGAACATAAAGCACTAACTGCCATTGACCTCAACGTGACAGGTTGATGAAAGTGACCTTCACACTGCAGTCTTCACTAAGGGAACCAAATTAGGAATGTGCCTTAATGCTGACAGTCAAGTCAAATCACATCAAATCCATAACGCTATTCATAAATGATTGTATATTTTTAATTGGGAAAGTGCTCATAAAAAGTAAAGTCCAATAATAATATAAGTGAGCCACAGGAACAACAGAGCAAGTTGACAATGTCTTTATCAGAATTACAAACTTAATTGTAACAACTTAGGCTAATCATTTCACTGCTGGCTGGACTAAACTGGTGGATAGCAATCTTTATTAATAATTACATTTTAGGCATAAAGTGAGTGACATTTACCTAAGAATTAGAAAGGTCATATAATTATAGTTACAATACATATCACAAAATTTGAATGATGAAATAATTAGCAGTAGAACTAATTTATACTTACAATACCATAACGTTGTGTATATTTTCACACTTGCACACTAATGTGTATATTTGCACACTTGCACACTATTGCTGATATTTGCACACTTGCACACTATTGTTGATATTTGCACACTTGCACACTATTGTGTATATTTCGACACCCTCAGCATTCTGCATCAACAAACTCAGGAGCTGTTGTGGCTCAGTCACTCGGAACACACAGCTCATACACCATCGACATGACTTCAGTTGTGGGCTAAGCCTCTTGCAGGGCCAGTAAGCTGTTACTTGTTTCTTGTTTCTGTCTTACTTATGAGGCGGTGTATTAGTCTTTATGACTTGTCTTACTGATCGCGTCAGTAAGATTTTAGCCCCAAGTCGTTGAAGCTAATTCGATTCCAAATTTGCAATGTATATAGGACAAAAGCGTAATAAATGAGTCAATGCATTAATATAAGAACGTTCGGTAGACTGGGCTAGAAGCCAAGCTCGACACTGCAAGCTCTAGGTGAGTGCATGATCAGCCCCACAACTCTGGGGAGTGGCACTCCTAATAAAGTGGAAATGGAAGTTTGAAAACCTGGAAAATCTGCGTACAAATGAGAGCACAAGCTCCATACATGGAACTCTGACCGCAGATGGGAGGAAAATTATGATCTTGGTAATCTACAATCCCCCACCAGACAGTAGAAGGCCCTGGCAGTAATATGATGACAATAAAAAGACATGTATAGATGAACTGTAGAAGGCCTCTCAAACTTGAGAGGCAAGCAGGAGTGAGCGGAAAGGTCCTAGCATGGGTAAGGAACTACCTAACAGGAAGGAGCCAGAGAGTTATGGTAAAGAGCGAAAAGTCGGACTGGCGAACAGTAACAAGTGAAGTACGTGAAGGATCGGTGCTAGGACCAATTCTATTTCTAATATACGTTAACGACATGTTTACAGGAGTAGAATCCTACATGTCATTGTTTGCGGATGATGCAAAGTTGATGAGAAGAGTTGTGACAGATGAGGATTGTATTATCCTCCAAGAGGATTTGAACAGGTTGCAGAGATGGTCAAAGAAATGACTACTGGAGTTCAACACGAGCAAATGTAAAGTTATGGAAAATGGACTAGGTGATAGGAAATCAAAGGGGACAGTACACAATGAAGGGGAACTGCCTACCTGTGACGACGCGAGAGAAGAAACCTGGGCGTGGACGTAACACCTAATTATATCTCCTGAGGCACATATAAATAGGATATCGACAGCAGCGTACTCACATGACAAAAGTTAGAACATCATTCAGAAACTAAGTAAGGAGGTATTTAGGGAGCTTTATACTGCCTACATGAGGCTAGTCTTAAATATGCCAGCCCCATCATGGAGTCCCACCTGAAAAGAAACACATAAGGAAACTGGAAAAGGTTCAGAAGTTTGCAACGAGATTTGTCCCTGCGTTACGAGGGATGGGGTACGAGGAGCGCCTGAAGGAATGAGCCTTACGACACTAGAAAAAAAGAGAAGGAGAAGGGGGATATGATAGGAAAGTATAAAATACTCAGGGGGATTGACAGAGTTGACAAGGACGAATGGTCCACATGAGTAGTTAGTAACAGAACGAGGGGACCTGGGTGGAAGCTGGAAACTCAGATGAGTCACAGAGATGTTAGAAAGTTTTCTTTTGGCGTGAGAGTAATGAAAAAAATGGAATGCACTTAAGGAGCAGGTGATGAAAGCAAATTCTATTCATAATTTTATAACTAGGTATTATAAGGAAATAAGACCGGAGTCATTGCTGTCAACAACCGATGGCTCGAAAGGCGGGATCCAAGAGACAGTGCTCGATCCTGCAGACACAAGTAGGTGAGTACAAATAGTGAGTACAACTCTCCCCCCTCCCCCCCCCCCCTCCCACCTGTCATCTGGTGACCCAGCCAAGCTCTGAATATTTCAGCACCTCAGCTGTGAACTGTGATGACCTTGTGTTCCCAGGTCAACTTTAATTGTTGTCACATTCAGACTTCCTCGCTCGTTTAATTCTTGTCAGCCTCTTGTGTAAACATCAAGGGTTTTGAAAATAATTCATTGTTATACAGCAGACACTGTAGTTATGCTTGAGTTATACAAGAACTTTATTCATTCTTTGAATACACGCTTGTATTTGTTTTTGTTTAGCCTCGTAAAGCTCAGGGAGCACTAGCTCATTATCACGGTCAGGGAGCACTAGCGCATTATCACGGTCTGGGAGCTCTAGCGTATTATCACGGTCAGGGAGCACTAGCTCATTTATCACGGTCTGGGAGCTCTAGAGCATTATCACGGTCAGGGAGCACTAGCTCATTATCACGGTCAGGAGCACTAGCTCATTATCACGGTCAGGGAGCACTAGCTCATTATCACGGTCTGGGAGCTCTAGCGCATTATCACGGTCAGGGAGCACTAGCTCATTATCACGGTCAGGGAGCACTAGCTCATTATCACGGTCAGGGAGCACTAGCTCATTATCACGGTCTGGGAGCTCTAGCGTATTATCACGGTCAGGGAGCACTAGCGCATTATCACGGTCAGGGAGCACTAGCTCATTATCACGGTCAGGGAGCACTAGCTCATTATCACGGTCAGGGAGCACTAGCTCATTATCACGGTCAGGGAGCACTAGCTCATTATCACGGTCTGGGAGCTCTAGCGCATTATCACGGTCAGGGAGCACTGGCTCATTATCACGGTCAGGGAGCACTGGCTCATTATCCCGGTCAGGGAGCACTAGCGCATTATCACGGGAGAGGGAAGCACTAGCTAATAATCACGGTCAGGGAGCAATAGCTCATATCATGGTCAGGGAGCACTAGCTTATTATCACGGTCAGGAGCACTAGCTTATTATCACGGTCAGGGAGCCACTAGCTCATTATCACGGTCAGGGAGCACTAGCTCATTATCACGGTCAGGGAGCACTAGCTCATTATCACGGTCAGGGAGCACTAGCTCATTATCATGGTCAGGAAGCACTGGCTCATTATATCGGTCACGGAGCACTGGCTCATTATAATGGTCAAGGAGAATTAGCTCATTATCACGGTCAGGGAGTACTAGCTCATTATCACGGTTAGGGAGCACCGGCTCATTATTACGGTCAGGGAGCACTAGCTCATTATCACGGTCAGAAAGCACGAGCTCATTATCCTAGTCAGGAAGTACTGGCTCATTATCACGATTAACTGCCATATATTTGGAATGCAGCTAACGTAGTCCCGATATACAAGAAAGGGGATAGACAGGAGGCACTGAACTACAGGCCAGTGTCCCTAACCTGCATACCATGCAAGCTGATGGAGAAGATTGTGCGAAGAAAGCTAGTGGAGCATCTGGAGCGAAGGAACTTTGTAACACAGCATCAACATGGTTTCAGGGATGGCAGGTCCTGCCTCACAGGGTTACTTGAATTCTACGACCAGGCAACAAAAATAAGGCAAGAAATAGAAGGGTGGGCAGACTGCATATTTTTGGATTGTCAGAAAGCCTTTGATACAGTACCACACAAGAGGCTAGTGAAAAAGATGAAAATGCAGACTGGAGTTAAGGGAAGGTACTCCATTGGATAAAGGAGTACCTAAGCAACAGGAGACAACGAGTCTGTGTGAGGGGGTGAGGTCTCGGATTGGCGAGACGTTACAAGTAGAGTCCCGCAGGCGTCAGTCCTTGGACCTATACTGTTTCTGGTATAAGTAAATGATCTCCCAGAGGGTATAGATTCGTTCCTTTCAACATTTGCCGATGATGCAAAAATTATGAGGAGGATTGAAACAGAGGATGATAGTAGGAGGCTACAAGATGACCTAGATAGACTGAGTGAATGGTCCAACAAATGGCTGTTGAAGTTCAACCCGAGTAAATGCAAAGTAATGAAACTAGGCAATGGAAACAGGAGGCCAGACACAGGATACAGAATAGGAGATGAAGTACTTAATGAAAGAGACAGAGAGAAAGATCTAGGAGTTGATAAACACCAAACCTGTCTCCTGAAGCCCACATAAAAAGAATAATGTTTGCGGCATATGCGAGGCTGGCTAACATCAGAACGAACGGCGTTCAGGAACCTGTGTAAGGAATCATTCAGAATCTTGTACACCACATATGTAAGACCAATCCTGGAGTATGCGGCCCCAGCATGGAGCCCGTACCTTGTCAAGCACAAGACGAAGCTGGAAAAAGTCTAAAGGTATGCTACTAGACTAGTCCCAGAACTAAGAGGCATGAGTTATGAGGAAAGTCTGCGGGAATGCACCTTACGACACTGGAAGACAGAAGAGTAAGGGGGGACATGATCACAACGTACGAAATCCTCAGGGGAATCGCCCGGGTAAACAAGGATAAACTATTCGACAGTTGCGGGACGCGAACAAGGGGACACAGGTGGAAACTGAGTACCCACATGAGCCACAAGTACGTAAGAAGGAACTTTTTCAGTGTCAGAGTAATTAACGGATGGAATGCATTAGGCAGTGATGTGGTGAGTAGTGTAAAAGGAGACGAATTGAGGTAAAAATTTTCAGAAACGGTTGGGCACTTCCATGCCGACTTGACCCTGGCGGGCCAGATCGTCCATCCCTCTTATTTTAGGTGGTTAGGTTAGGGCACAGTCAGTGCGCTGGCTGGCTGGCTGGGGGGGGGGGGGTGGTGGTCCCCCTGGGGTCCCGGGGGACTACCACCCAGGGTATACCTGAGGAACTGGTGCCCTATCCTAAACTGTTTTTTTTTTTACTTTTTGTCGCCTTGCTTTAAGATGAGTCTAAGCGCCTCAAGAAGGGGGTCTCTACTTATGAGAGGTACCGAGGATGAATGTTCAATAGTTGGAAACCAAAAAAATACACTGGTTGAAAGGTGTATTAACGTTTTTGGAGTATTTTAATGGCATGAGAAAAATGCACGATTTGTCCCGGGGGTGTTACGAGAGTACTACGGTATGAATTTGGGGGGCCCTTACTTTGAATGGATCAGAGGGGTGAATGTTCAATAGATTCAAACAAGAAACACAGTTGAAAGCGAATATAGAAGTTTTGGAGTACTTTAATGAGGCTATGACTGAATAGTATAGGGAGCCCTTGGGCACAGCTCCATTTTCTGTAATGGTAAGGGTGGATAACCACAGGGGGGGTCAAGCATACAAGGGGGGGGGGGGTCAAGATTCCTTACAAAGACCAAGTTTGGATATATAGGTGTTAGTAAGCCTTATCTTGAATTTGCATGATACTGTGGGGTACATTGAACATGAAGGGCGAGTCATAGAACAGGATCTGCATGTGAGATGGGTCATATTGGGGTTTTAAAGAAGTTAAGATAGCTTTAAAGAGTCCTGTGGTGCTTGATAGTGGGGAAATGTTCAGTCAATAATTCTCGTGTTTTGAATCTGAATGAGGGGTCCTAGTTTGCGTTCTAGTAGTAAAATGAGTTCCTTAGTATATTTGCTATGGAAAATGAGCTTTCAATACTCTATATAATTTGAAATGAGGTCAAGAAAGACATGTTTATGTGCGAGAAGAGTCAGGTTGGAACCTGTTTATTCCAGTCATCCCCCCTTGGCTTTGCTCCGATTTCTTGTAGCTAAAGTAAAGATTCCATTTTCTGTGGCATTCAGTTGATTACTGGTGAAAAAGGCATACTTGAATTTGTATGGTTCTAACCTGTTTATAGATTTTATAGATATATTTTTCGGGCCTCAAATTAGATTTTAATATGAAAAATAGCATCAAATGTATGTCTATCTTTTGTAAAAACGTTACAAGCATTAACAATACCTGTGATATTTCATAGAATACAAAAAGAAGTTTAAATAGTGGGGCCTCAGTCATATTGTGTTGGGTTTGACACTCCAAACATTAAATTGACACTCATAAATATACTATAAAGGAAAGTATTTGAGTGGTTTAAGCAATTTAATATGTACTGGGAATCTGTTCATATTCTGTATTAAATTTCATTTTTTAACATCATAATAGTTTTCAGCTATTGTGGTGGGGGCCCAATAACTTCATATAGCACATCGACTGGCACTATCTGTTGCTATGAAATGCTTTTTGAAATCATGTGTTAAAATTTAAAAGTCGACAGTTGCCATTTATGTCAGTGCCGTGGTATATCAAGCGCAAAGGTTTAGGTTTTCCAGAAAATGTTACACCTCCACCTTTCAAAAAGTGAAAAAATGAATTCATTTTGGCATTACTGTCATTACTTTGGAAGTTCTTTAATGATAGCACATGCTTAAACAAACTCGCTCGCAAAAACAAACTCATTTTTTTTTTTTTTAACTTACACAAACCCAAGGCTTTCACATTCGCGCAAAATACTTAGTCCCCCCTAAACTTAAAACAGTTGCACGATCTTACTTAAACACATTGCTAAACTCTTATACACAAACAAAAACTCAATTTTTAACTTACACAAATAAACCCAGGGCTTTCACATTCGCGCAAAATACTTAGTCCCCCCTAAACTTAAAACAGTTGCACAATCTTACTTAAACACATTGCTAAACTCTTATACACAAACAAAAACTAAATTTTTAACTTACACAAATAAACCCAGGGCTTTCACATTCGCGCAAAATACTTAGTCCCCCCTGAACTTAAAACAGTTGCACAATCTTACTTAAACACATTGCTAAACTCTTACTCACAAACAAAAACTCAATTTTTAACTTACACAAATAAACCCAGGGCTTTCACATTCGCGCAAAATACTTAGTCCCCCCTAAACTTAAGACAGTTGCACAATCTTACTTAAACACATTGCTAAACTTGTAACGGTTCTATTGTTACATAAAGTATGGTGACAAATAAACACAGACACTAAGATACTATATAATATATTTGGGTCGAATATACAGAAGTACACCGGTGATACTTTGGTGTGAGTTGAGCGCACTGAGCGTTGGTACAGTATCTCGCAAGTGTCTGCTCTAGACCACACTTGAAAGTAGACTAGTTAATGTTTGCTATTCTTGCCGCTTATATTGCTCAGGCAACACCTCACCGTGCTGCCCGGGCAACGCCTCACCTCATTCATCTCCAAAGGTTGACAGGAATACTAACACTATATTTGGAGCGAGTATATTATTGGGATAATCTACTCGCTGACAGAACTCCCCTCCCAGGGGATGAAAGGGAAAATACTTGATCAAGGAACTTAGCTGGTCGGTGAATTGTACGCCCTGCTCGCGTTACATAACCATCAAAGTTAACTTCCTCCTCTTCGCTGATGTCATCTAACTGCGGTCGTAGGGTGGGAGGTCGCACAGGATCGTCCGTCGTCGTAGGATCAGGTTGTGGTGCGGCTGGTAACTGGGGTTGTAGGGTGGGCGGTCGTACAGGATCGTCCGTTGTCGTAGGTGGTGGTGCTGCTGGTAACTGTGGTCGAAAAGTGAACTGCGTAGTCGGCGGATGTGTCTCTAGATTTAGCAGTGTTGCAGACGTTGAGACGAAGCCTGGAGCAGAGCAGAGAGTGAGTGAGGCCGGAGTCGTGGAGCTCTATGTGGGAGAGCGTGGCGGCTCGATTGAGGTTTGTGAGTGTCTAAACTCGGGGAGTGAGAGCGTGGCGGCTCGATGCGGTCGTAGTCTGCTGTCTGCTCTGTGTCGAAGCTGTAGCGTCTTGGGTTGATTAGGACTGTACACGCCGAGTACTACATTGTTGACTGTGGAAATTGTAGTCTGGTACCAAAAAATGTAGGCAGTGTGTGGACAAGCTCGGTGTAGCAGGAGAGAAGAAGGTGCATAATTGTTGCGTCCTTGGGTCGCTGGTGGAGCATTTAGATCCAGGGCGGATGGGTCGGGCACCAGGACATTAGGAGGTAATGTAGGCACGTAGTTAGGACAACGAGGTAATCACTGCTAGAGCTGAATTGTCCTGGAGGCGACGATGAGTCGGAAAACGCAAGCTGTAAGTTCCTGTACTGCGCAAAGTGCTTGAGTCGGCCAGAGTATCAGAATGCAGTGAACGTGTAGATGAATCTGACGAAAGAGCAGCTTTCGTGGGCGCCCCTGTAGAACAAGCAGTGCCCTGGCAGCGACGGAGAGTCGGCAGGGCAGGCTGTAGATCCCACATGATGTAGTTACTGATGAAGCTGCCAGATGAGTGAGTAGTGATCGTGGAGCAGCAAGCCGTAGTAGATGAAAATGCAGAGATGATCG